AAATTTATTTGCATAAATCTGTAATAGTTTTATTAGCTAAATTAAATACCAATCCTAGTAATTATAATAATGCATTCTTATTTTAAAATGGATATCTGCTTTTTATTTAGTTAATCATATTTAAAGAAAACTATTTCTCATTTAAATCATTCCTATTTCAATTATTCATTTTATTATTATAAAAATTATTATAAGTACTTTGAAGATCATTAAAGAGTAAAAGATCTAATGGAAATCATAAATATCAATAAAATAAAAAAATGATTGAAGAATTTAAAATGAAGTAATAGTTACATGTTAAAAAATTCAATCGCTTATAAAATTTATACATTCAATATGATTAACAGAAAGATATGGAAGGAAATATTCTGGATCTATTATAAAATGGTTCATAATACTTATTTGATAAGTTTAAAAAACGGTTCAAGAGTACAGCTAGAAGAAGAAAAAGGACAATGTTAGATAAAGTTTGGAATAAACATTATTGGCTTTTAATTAGAGTTTGATTGAGTATGATTTAATGGAATCTGTGTTAGAATCAAATATGTTAGCCTTACTAATTCATCCAAAAAAACATAAGTTTTTGCTGTTGGAGATATGAGAGTGGATACATATGATGATATAATTATGACAGCACAATATTTGATTGTTACATTAACAGGAGAGGTGATTCAGATTAAGCACGATTAAAAAGTAAGGATAAGTGGAATAGCTTCTAAAGAAAATTTATTAATATTGATTAGAGATTCTAAGATATCAAGATGTAAACAAGGACATGATGGAATGCTATTAAGTTGTTCTTTCGATCCTATATATTGCAATAATTATACAAGGCCATAATTATTGAAGAGATATACAATAAGTAAATAAATATATTCAGATAAATTTTAGAAATTGTAATCTGATTTCTTCTTTCTGGTTATTCCTTTTGGATTGCTGAAAAGATCAATGCATAATAAATAATAACAGAAGATGAACAATAAAATCTATCACTAAAATGTTAGATTTTGTCGGTTAGTGAGATTTGTATAATAAATGGATGAAAGAGAATTGTATAGGAACTTTTACTGATTTATCTTTGGATTGGCAATTTAGTATTTAATCTACATTTTAGTTGATATTGATTTAAAATTACTTTATTTATTTGAAAGTAATGGGAATTTAATTAAAACAATTTAATTTCTCCATTAACAGATTACGAGAGAATTTATAAAGAGAACATAGTATGTTACAAGTTTTTATTTAATAGAAAGACAAAAAGAAAAATAATTAGATTATTGAGAGGAACTATTGGATGAAGAAGATTATTGAAAATAAGAATGATGAGAATGGATATAAAAAACAAAAATGAGATATATAAATAATATAAATAGTTAATGGATTCTGGAAGGTAAGCTATGTTGAGATAGAGTAAAATTATATTTATGTTACATTATTGTTGGAACAAGAATATATGTAAAAACACTAATATATTTGAATTTGAATCTTTTATTCAATATTTTATAAAAAGTTTACACTAAGCAATTAATATTAGCATCAAACAGACCAAATGATTTAGAACTAGAAGGGTATTTAGTAGGATGGAAATTCCATTTTATTCTTCTAATTTATAGGAGATGTAGATGAATTTGAATTCTAATTACTTGAAGAAATTGATATCCCTTACTCCTTATTAAAAGAAAAAATTATGGAAACAATTTTTTCAATTATTAAAAACAAGTCTATTTTATTCTTAATTCAAACTTAATTTATCTATAGATTCAGAATTATCAGCAGTTGTTTATTAGCATAACCATTTATTCATTTTTTATCTAAAATTTAATTTTTTTATCAGAACTCCTTGATAAAATGAGATTTTATATTATTACACTAAAAATCTTTTCCTTTTTTAAATTTATAAATATTAATGAAAGAACTACAGTAGGGCTGGAAATTTTGAAATTAATTCTTGTGATGCAGTTGATCTTTGATTAAAGCAAATGAGAGATTGTATATATTTCTAATACTATCATTTAAAATAAAGTTATATTTTCATTATTATTTATAAAACTTAATTGGGTTTATTTTCCAAATTTTTCACCTTTCAATTGTTAAATTCTATTATGATATTGATATGTTATTTTTTAAAGATTCCCATTTTTATTATTTCAGATCAATAATACATAAACAGAATTCTCTTAATCATTAACATTAGGTAGCTAGCAAAACAGAGCATTATTAATTGATATTTTTAAAAAAGTGTTTATGACTCTTCCATCAAATACGACAATCTAGAGACTTTATCTTTATCTTTGATATCCTAAATGATGTCTTAATTCTTTTAATTTATCTTTTATATCACTATCATTTCATTTGTATAATTAGATCCACTTATAATTTGTCCTTAATAGCACTAATATTTAATTGATTAGATGTAACAAAGTTGTTTGAATTATTTTATGAGATTATTTTTTAATAGAGTATGTTATAGAATTTTATTTTAATTGTTTAGTATTCTATATCTAGTTTTTAATTTAATGATTTACTTAAGAAATCAATTTTCTATCCATTTCATCTTATGTATAGCAATAAATGGTAATTAAAAGATTAGAGAGTCTTGAATCATTATAGAAAGATTATATTTGATTAATAAATGCCGAAGTTAGTATCATTTTTAGCTAAGGAAGTTTCTAAAAAATTATTTGTATAATAAAATTATAATCTTGTAGATAAATAGGAATTAGATTAAAATTGTACGATTAATATTTTAAATGATATTTCAACAACAAGATTTGTTGCAACAATAAGTCTAAAAAATTTAAATAATAAAGATTATGATAAACCTATACTTATTGAAACCAATAAAGAAAATTTAGTAAACCATTTTTACTAGAAAAACTGGCAAAATTGAATTATGTGGTTTAATAAATTAATAATTAATTCATAAACAATATTTAACGAGATTAAAATTATAAAAAGTAAAAATATTGATCAAATTTTAAGTAGAATAGTCGATTATGATGAGATAAATATAATTTTTAATAGAGAGATTTATGAAACCTTAGATGAATGATAAATAAAAAAACTATTTACTTAAAAGGAATTCAATAAAGGAAATTCACCTTAAATTTTCATTAGGGATTTATTAATGTTACTAATAAATCTTTAGTTGTTTGGAATTAAGATAAATGAAAAAAAAAAGTTCTTGTTTATCATATACATTATAATCATCATTTTTAAATTTCTACTTAATTATTATAGCTATTTTAGTATTCTTTTAATTTATTAAATCAATTTAAATTATCTTCTATTAATTTAAACTTTACCAGAAAAATTAAATATAAGCTTAAAAACATGATAACTTAATCAAATAGACAGAATAATAATTATTAAGGTTACTATAAATGACTTTCAATATAATGTAGGATGAATCCATTAAAGATATCACTGCAATTATTTTTTTAATGTCATACATTTTTAATAAGTATTTGATTTCCAAATTATTTTCCTACTATTTAAAAGCTTTATCACAAATATTTTATCACTAAAAGAGGATTATCATGTGCTTAATATTAACATAGTTTATAGTAGAGCAACTTGTAAAATAATTAGATGTATACTAAGATTACAAAATTAAAATCTGTTTAAACAAACTATTTATATATATTTTACAACCAAGATAATTTTTTCCAGTTTGCCATGAACTAAATTCTCAAATTAACTTTAAATATATATTGCAATCATTAGTTTTCTTATAAATTTATTTGTTCCTGTATTAACACTATATCTTTTAAATTATAAGTTCCAGCCATGATATCATGATGAACAATTTAAAAGTTATAAGATGAGATTTTTAATAAACTGCAATGGTTGAACAAAAAATCGAAAAATAAGAGAAAAATTTATAATTTATGAATCTTTCTTGTAGTCAGAGATACAAATTGATACTTAAGGGAAATGATACAACTAGAATATCAGTAGGATTAAAATGGAAGATATGGAAGTATTAAATAAAGTAATTAATATTTAGTTAGAGCTATTTATTAACATGGATATAATTTATTTTTAATAAGAATATCATACAATAAATAAATATTAAAAGTTTTATTTGTCTTGTTTTAGAACTCTTTCTATCATAATTACCCAATATATCTAAATAGGTTATTTAAGTTCAATACTCTTAGAATTCTTATTACTTGAATTGCTTGATTATTAAAAGTAAAGTTTATCTATCAGATAAAAATTAATGAACTGTTTAACATAAACGATAAAAAGCAATTCAAATCTTTCTTGTATAGAAATCTGATAATTTGCTTATAGCAAATTTAATTCAAAGTAACAGTAAAAGAGAGAATTAATAAACTAGATTATTATAAGAAATAACCTAAAGATAGATATAATTAGAATGTTTATAAATAATAAAACTATGTTGGATTTTGACCAGCTGCTTGATTTCAAGAAAAAAAGAGATGTCCATTTCCATAATATTTCATCTGTTAACATAATAAAATTCTTTCTGAGCTTTAACATAAAACTGATTAAGCAATTTTCATTTTTAATTAATTAACTTTGCATTTTTCTTAGCCAATACAAGAAATATTAACACATTAGTACCAGCTAGATGAAAAAAAAAATGATTAGTTCCCGCAGTTAATAATGTAGATTAAATAAAAATTAAGGAAGGAAATAAAGAAAAATTGAAAAAATTAAAAAATAGAATTATATATCATGCTTTTGGATAAATAAATAAATCAACTTTTTAGGATTCATACATATGTAAATTAAAGGATTATCTCTAAGTCATACTTAATAATGAACTATTGATTGATTTAATCAAACATAATTAAGCTTTTTGATTTTATTTACAGTAGATTATTAATAGATCTCCGATTGAAAATATATATACAACTAAAATTTAATAGATAACTGGATTAGCAATTCTTTTTAAATTTATATAGATAATGAAGCAATCTTAGACAAACTTTACTCTTTTACAAGAGCAATATGCTATTATTCATAATATGATGAAATTCCTTATAATTCTAAAATAAGGCAAATTAAACAATAAAGATTTATTTAAAAAAAAAAACATCACAAAATTTTTTTTTATTGAATTACTTAAATATCAAAATTTTCAATTCTCTAAACCAGTAGTCTCTTTTGTTGACCTCAATTCAAAACAACTTTAATTTTGGGCTTCTTAGCTTAAGGGAGTAGAATATCAAAAAAAAGAAAACACAACCAAGTAAAGCCTTTTTCTAACTACTATAATTTCCATAAAGTATAATTTGATAATCAAAATGTTAAGACTATTTAAGTGTTTCTAGAAACCAATAATGTCGTATAATTTTATGTCTAAATATGATTTTTATAAACACTGACCTAAAAATTTCTAGCAAATATCATATTTTCTTAATTAGCATACTTAATTCTTAAATAAATAATAGATTTATAAGAGTTTCTATTAGAACAATCGCTGCCGAAATATTTTCTTTATATATTGGTTTAGTGATACTCATTAAAGATATTTTACGAAAAAATACCTCAGAATTTAATTGCTAAAAGTGCAGTGTAAATTTATAAATTATATATATTGATGGTACCTTAGTTTGATCTTAAATCCTGTAGATAAATTGGTTTTATCAATATAATAGCTAAAAATTGGGCTATAGAAATCCAGTTAAATTCACTTCCTTCAGAGGTAGCACTTTTGTTGAAATTGAAATTTGATATATCTTAATTTCTTCTTAATAAAATTATTATGGTTTCATCTATTTCCTATACCATTTCCTCTGATAGCAATCACACGGAGTAATAACTTCAACATAAACTCCAATACTACAATATCATTTCAAGGATATTTACTTCATCCCTCTGTACCTTTGTATTACTCCTTTTTGTTGGTTATTGTTCCATAATACCTCATATTTGAATTTTTTCAATAGTAAAAATATCGATTAAAAAGGTATCTTTCTTATTCTTCTTGAATTTTATATCATTTTACCTTATCTATCATTTAGTTTTTTTAGCATTTTCTATTCTATCTTTATAACATTAACATATCCTTCATAATATTAACTTCAATTATTTATGAATTTTTGATATAATTTCCACTTTCTATTATTTATTAAGGTAAATTTTAACTCCCTCCATAAAATTGTAGATGTCGAAAATTCTATGAATATTTCCAAATTAAAATGTAACCCTCAGTAATTTTCTTCATAAAATATCCTATTTGTCTATGTATGAATTTGACAGCATTTAATACAATAACGATATATTTTTTCATATATATTTCATAGCTAATAGCTAGTCTAATCTCCATGATACCTTCATAATGAAGGCATAAGTTCTTTAATTTATTTTTATCACTAATCCTTCATTTTTAGTCATATCCTTTAGATATTATTTGTATTAAGTTAGAAATTCGAACAATAATCTATCTTTAAATTTCACTTCTTCTTATGGCTGTGTATTTAATCAATTCGAAATAACACTTTTTAGATGTATATCTTATTACCCAACATTATTAATAATCTGGATCCTATGTCTAATAACTTAGGTATCTTGAAATTCATAATTTTTCTTCTTTTGGTATATTGTTCCAATTTCCTTTAATTTTCCCTACTTATTATGGTTATCTACAAATTAAATATTAATCTATTCTAAGTTAGTTAAAATTTTGGGCAACAATAGCCTTTCTATTCCTATGACAAGTATAATTCTATGATCAAATGGGCTATATTGTTAGTCATCAAATTTATTAATTCCCATTCCTTTTCTACATATTATTTTCCTTTCAAATCTCCTTATTCTACAAATAGTTGGTCTATTTATCTAGAAAATCAAATAAAATTTAAATTTTGCGTTCTCATATCATCCATTTTTCTGTAATTATTATTATTTTTTGTAGCTATTGCAAACAAATTTCAATTCCTATTTTTTAAAGATATTCCAGATCTCTTATCCTTTACCTCATTTATAAATTCCATACTTATATTAATATGTCATGTCTTAAAGTTCTATAATTTTTATCATTCCACAATTGTTGCAGTTAAAACTAATGTGAATAATATTATAGAATTGCTAGAGATAAAAAAAGATTGGAAGGAGGAAAGCGTTTTAGGAATTGCAGTTTCTAGAATTTATAAATATCTTAGAGTTATTATATAAAAATTATATCAACAACTCATATGTTGAATTATTAATAATATTGAATTAATGCAGAGATAGTATTAAAAGTGTTTATGTAAATAAATTAGAAAATGAATTTGTTGATAATTGTAATACTTAAAGTCTTATTCATTTTACCGAATAACTTAAAATAAATAATATAATTACTGATTAGATACTTAAGTAGCATATAGATAATCTTTTGTAATTTATAAACATATAAAGGAATTGCGTAATATTGATAGTTATAATATAAATGGAAGAAATATTAAAAAATATACAGATAAAATTAGGAAGAAAGTATATAAATGAGTGTAATTGATTATTATTTATAATAATAATGATATTAGCATTAGTCTCGAATTTTAAATCTAATAATTATACATGAGTATAATTATTAATTAATCAATTAATTGTTATAATTAAATTATCATGAAAGGCAAATTGTAATTTTCATAAAAGCTATTTAGCTTTAATAAATGAAGATAAGTCACTGGCTCATCAAATAGAAAAATCGCTCTTTTTTTATTTCTTAAAATACAATCGAGTTTAAACTTTGCTCTCAATACAAAATTATATAACTTATTATATTATATGCTTGCCTTTTTGACTTCTAATAAAAGTATTTTTTTTCCTCTTGATTATTAACTTGCTCTACCAATTTAAATTCTAATTCACAAATGCTCATATTGTGATTTAATTTCAGAATTTAGTATATTTAGTAATTGTCAATAAAATAAGAATCAACTTTTTAAAAGTGGAATCTTTTATGTTTATCAGTGCTTTATTTTGCTACATTGTTATCCTCAATTTTATAAAGATTCCCAAACTCCTTAAAATGCATAACCAGAGTTATAGCATCATTAGAATAATCAAAAACCCATATATCTTAAAAATTTTGTGTTTTCCCCATATTCATTGTATATTTCAAAACAATTGTTTATGATAAATCCTAATAATTATAAGTTGGATCTATATTTTTTCTAATATAAATTTTTTGTATTCCATTTTAGAAAAATCTCATTAATAGATTATTAAATATATTTATAGCAGCAACTAAGATATTGTATAATATTCTACTCATTTATTCATTTTTGAAATGAGAATAACCCATAGGATTCTTGCTGTATTTGCGTATGCTGTGATTAATGAAATAATGGGCAATTTTATTACTCATCTTATTATATTGAGTGTATCTATCCATTCGTTACATATAGTTTCAGTTGATGCCTATGAGTTATGAGTAATCCTTTAGCTTTAAGAATCATTTTATATATATTTCTTAAACCTCAAAATTAATAATTATCTTTTTTGATTCTGTTGCTCCAATATTTACTACTTTTTTAATATCTTTTATCGTTTTTTATATATCCAACGCTTACTATCAAGATAACATTTATCTTTTTTCAATAATTCTTTCTAATAACTCTTTAAAGTTAAGTTTTTTTTTTTTTTAAAGTTAATGCTTTATTAATAAACTTGATAATTAAGCTTAATTTTTCAAAATATATCTGTTAGTCTTATTGTTTTTTCGTTCATTTTATCAACTAATTCTGTTTTCTCTACACTATCATTTTATTCTCTTATCTCTTTATTAGCAACTTTGTTTTTTTCTTTTTATTTAGGATCTTATAACAATGAGATGGTTTATCCTTTTATCAATCAAATATTATTCTAATAAGGGATTACATTTAGAATCTTTTTTGTTACTTTTAATTAAATTTAAGTATTAATATTTATTTTATGAATTATGTAAGAGTTGTAATATATTCCAATATGAATACAAATTTTAATCCTTCAGAAATCTTTGAGTGTAACGATTATTAAATTAATCTGCCCCTGTTCATTATATTTTAAAAAGCAATATAATCATGAGAAAATTTTTTAAATAAAAAAAGTAGTTTATCTAATTATTATTTTTTAAGGAGTTCTTTTATTATCAATAAATCTAAACTATGATGTAAATTTTAATAATTTTGTGTATTTTTTTAAAAAAAAGAAGCTCAAAAAGTTAAATAGCAAAAAAAAGCATCAAAACTAAAATTTATATTTATTATATTATTGATTTGTTGAATTTAAAATTTGATGTACATAAAATTAAATATAATTTTTCTAGTTTCTCAGAAACTTGAGGAAGTATAAAAAATTTTTATGCTCAAATCTCTTAAAATTGAAATTGTCTAACAAATGAATTCTTCATTTACTACTATTTTAATTCATCTCATTTAATAGCGAATAAGTATCTATTTTTTTATTTCTATTCTCAAAAACCTTAAGTAAAAATCACTTTGATATAAGTTAGCCCTATCTTACCTATGGATTTATATCATTTTACATAAATAATTGCAATTCATTATTGAAATATATAGAAATTAAAATGAGATACATAAAATTATGAATTGACTCCATCTAATCAAACATACCTTTAATGTGTTTATAATTCAAAAAATTAATATCTTATTATTTTCGATATAAAACGTACCTAATGCAAGCATTATGGATTTAATTATTTAAATTATACCTCTCTAGGTCTCATCAAGATCAAGTTAAGGACTATATTAAAATTATATATAATCTTTAATTTGATAAAAAATAAATTAATTATCCTCTCTACCCTCTTGAATGATAATTAATGTAATTATTATGTGCTTTTTGTAAATCAGAGAAATGAAAATCTGGTTTGCATTTCTAAAATTCTATTATCTTATTAATTTATAAATTTAATCATTTTCTCATACTTATTATGAAGATGATTAATAAGCAAATAAAGCCTTTATGAATCTTCGATGATTTAATATAAGCTTTTCAAAATTTTATAAAATTATTTTTGATAATGTTTAAAAAGAATATTTCTCTTCTATTATCATAAATTATATACTTTTCATAATTTACTTTTGTATTCATTCTCAAAGTTTGAATTAAATCTTAAATTTTAAAAATCTATTAATTTTTATCATTTTCAAAATAAATAAAAATTATAAATATTCAACATAAATAAGATTCTTTATATCCAGAATATGCTGAAGAAAATAAATGAAGAAGATTTAATGATAATGAAGAAAAACTAATATTTCATTAATTTAAAATTTGAAACAATTAAATTAATAAATTGAATGAATTTTAAAAGAATTCAATAAAGAAACAAGAATTAAAGAAATCTATCAATCATTGTACTCTAACTCTAAAAAAATCAATACTCTTAGACTTATGATTCAATGTTTTTCTTTGTTGTTTTAGATATTCGAAATGAATGAACGATTATCAAACTTTTAATGATCATAGAATAATTATTTCTTTAGGATTGACTTTTTCAGAAGTAAATGACTCTTGATATTCAAATTAGTATTAATTTCATTCAAAGTTTTTTATTGAGCTTACAAAATACTTTAGAATATATTTTAAAATTATAATCTCTGATCGAATAAAAGATTATATTTTTTCCTTTTCCATCAAATAAGTAGATAATGATTAAATTTAAAATTGTAATCAAGAGAAATATTAATATCAAAAATGCGCATAAGGAATTTATATATTTTATATATTATGTATTTGTATTTCAATATCAAAATAATAAACTATTTATTACAAAAAATATTTTATAAAAATATTTAATTGTATTTTAACACAAAACTTCTTCAAATTCTTTAATATAAATAATTAGATGACATAAGTTAAATCGTCAAATTAAAAAATTTAAGATCCAACAAATCATTTAAATTTATTTTCCAAATTTAAATTAATAATTTTTTTCGTTATTTCTCCAAAATCAAAATCTTTTAACTTAAAAAAAAAATATAACAAACCCCCTATTAGTAGAATAAAAATACAATTATATTAGGTTTTAACACTTATTCAAATTCAATATCTTTGTTAGGATCTTCTTATACATTATCAAAATTCTCTTGATAAACTAAGTAGATTCAATACAAAAAGATGAACTCTTCTGGTAATGATATTTACTATATTCTATAGAGATTGATATTAATATAACCATACAGGATGCCTCCTAATTAAATTTAATTATAAGGAGAGTGTAGGCATAAGTGAATATTAATAAATTTAGTATAATGGGAAGATCAGAATGATTTTGGGAGAGGAAATTAACAAGATTCCAAAATCATAAGAAATAGTGGTGCTAGATTAACTTGTGGAGTTATAGGTTTTTCTTTTGGATTTAAGAATTTATAACCATGTAAATATATCAATGATAATTAATTATTATTCTCTTAATTAAAAAAAATGTTCCAGTAATAAATAATGTAACAATATTAAATGTAAAGTTAAAAGGAAAAAATATTATTTTAAATAGAATAAAAATAATCTCCCTTTAAATAATTTAATTGCATCATTTGATTACCTTTTGAAGCCATTCTATTAGTTTGACTAATGGATGATGAACAGACTCTTGATTCTTATTTTGTAAATATTGAATTCATTATTAGCTATTTTGTATTCCAATAGCCATAATATTTAGTAAGATCAAATCAAGAAGTGAGAAGTGCAAGACTGAATACAATATCTTCTTTGGAGTATTTTTCGCTTTGCTAAGAGAGTGGTTTGTATATATATAAATATTACAACATTTTAGGTATACTCCTCAATACATCATTTGTTACTCTTTCTTATGTAAAAATATGATCCTTTTGGAAAAGTTAGATAAGTTAAGATTTCTTGTAGATTAGTAGATTATTGAATGTAAGAAACACTGTTATATCAATTCTCTTTGACAGACATATTATAGCATCTATGATTTTATATCTCCTAGAATAAATGCAAATTGATTAATAATATTGTTGATAAGAGAGCTATCATTTCTATAGAACTTGTTTAGAATCTTTAAAATTTTTTCATATTTATGATAGGAATTGATAGGTAATTCGTTGATCCAAATAAGTTATTCTTTTTTTAAAAAGATGTTAGCCAATTTAATCACTATTTTTTATAGAAGACTCTATTGTTTATAAGTTATTTTTGATAAATTTATTCCTTAAATTCTTAAAGAATAGTCCATCAAATATTGTTAATAAGAAATTTTCAATAATAATAAATTGATGTTAATTCTAAATCATTAAATGAAGGAATATTCAAATATATGAATCAAGTTATTGATTACAAAAATGAATAAGAAGAATATGAATAAGCAATTAAATAGTTTTGGATCTAATAAGTTCCATAAATACTTACTTTTAGATACAAAGAGTTGAATTTAATAAAGAATTTGGTAAGCGTTTAATCTTTTATTTGTTCCTAGTTAGTTTTTCTAAGATAAATTCCCCTTTTTATTTTGATAAGAAAATATTTATAGATCGTTATTTATCTTCGAATTAAAAAACCTTTAAATTTAGAATTAGTAAATGAGATAAAGATTAAAGAAAATTGATGAAGAATTAGAAATGTTAAATAAATTTAATAGTCATATTGATATTATTCAAAATTTAGAAACGACATTATAATTCTTGAAATTATAAAATTCAACTAATAAATTAATCCATTTTATGTGGATTTTTAATAATAATAAAGCAGCTTTTAAATCAATATTTGAATATCAAATAATATTTTATTAAAAAAAGGGATAATTTAATTAAAGAAAAAAAAGAGCCTGAATAAAAAATATCAGAAAGCTATAATTCTTTAAAAAAGTCAAAAGATGTTCAATAATCAATTTTAATGCATGAAGGTAATCCTGATGCTGGTTATTACTTTAAAAATGGTATACATAAAGAAATATATCATTAATAATTTAATTATATCTAACTATATTGTTTTAATGATGCTAATGTTAATGAAATCTCAGAACAAAATGTACTAAATTATGCTTATGGAGATATAAAAAAGTCAAAAAGTGCTTACTTATTATAATATGTTAAAGAAGAAAAAGTTAAGCAAGGCTAAAATTTTATGATGAAATTAAAGCAATTTAGTAAAAGTGAAGACAATAATTATTTAAATGATGGCTATGGATTATTACTATCTTAAATTTAAAGTGACTTTTATATTAAAATAATCTAAAGTTAAAGTAAGGAATTGAATAATAGTAATCAATTAGACATATAGAACCAATTATTTCTAAATATAAAACATTTTTGATATAGAAAATGAAAAAAAAAAAACTTTAATCAAAATAATACTCTTTATTTTCAATCAAACCATCTTACTTAGAAAATTATGTTATGTATTTGAAAACAAAGCCTGATGAAAAGTTATTGAAATGGGCAATATTAGATGATTCGATCAAAAAAGTTTTACCTAAACTAATGGATTATTATTTGGCACACCGAAATTAGTACCTTTACTAAATCTTCAATTTTGGAAGAAATAAACAATTTGAGAGAAAATAAAAATATACCTTCAAATTAAAGTTCTTTGTCTTTATATTCTGTTTATAAATAAAGATCATTATATTTTTAAAGAACATTTCATTTTGATGATATTTAATTTTTGAAAGATGCTTAATTAATAGATATTAACAATTATAAACTGAAAAATTATAATATTTCAATTGTACTAATAATCTTTATTCCTCTTCTTTTTAACTTCTTTATAATTATTCTTAAAGAATTTATTATTGTCTTTATCTAGCTAAATATTTTTATTCTTTTTTTTATTGTTTAAATAGAGATCCTTTTTTTCAGCTTAATCCATCATAAATCAAATTTAAAAAACTATTCTCTATCTTAAAGTAAATTAAGTCGCCCTAAGAATTATTATACTAGAGTTACTTATTATTCTTTTTTGATATGTTCGTATTCGAGACTATATCTTATAAATTCAGATTGTTTTTATTAGAATTTTTTTGTTTTAATTATTCAACATTGTCTCTTGCATGTATAAATTTTTGCATAGTTCAGCGAATTCGAAATCATAAATAGTAGTTTTAGTTTTAGTTGTTTAATTCTTTCATCAATCAATCTTTCTAATTCTTCTCTATTTTTATTTAAATTATAATACCTATATAAGTGCTTTCTATTTTCTTATTCTTCTTTCTCCTACTTTTCTTATATTTCCTCTTGTAATTTTTATCTTTCAATAAATCTTGACCATTCACCACTAGGATCTAAGATTTATTAAATAAGACAATTACCATGTTTATTATAATGAGTTAAATTAACAAACAAAAAATTAAAAATTAATAAATTTTATTTATTAAATATTAAATAAATTAATTAACAATCCATGGATTACGATCACAGAGTCCAAAATCAACATAATAATAAATAGATAAACTTAAATTAGCTCAAACAGCAATTAAAAAGGAACATCCAAACCGAATCATAATATCAAGTATTTCATGAACTATTATATTAGTAATAATTGGAATAATAAAAATAGCAGTATTGTCATTTACTAAATAAATAAAAGAGTACATTATAATTAATTAATTAGAAATTAACAAGGTTATCCATAAACTTTAGGTCTTAGTAATTGATTTTTTTCAAGTATTCTATTTATATACATATGAATATTAGAATGTAACCTTGATGTAAGCTAAAACTTTAAGAATGATTTTACATAATAAATTAATGTAGAAAAATGCATATTTCCTATCAATTACGAAATACCTACTAATTTCAATTTCAAAGAAACTTATCCTAATTGTTAACATGATATACTTAATTAAGGCAATTGTTTATCATCTTATTCATTTGCTGTTCTTCTGCCTTTTCTGATAGAGTTTGTAAATTATCAAATTAAAATCTATTATCATGTGATGGTGAATTGAATCAAGGATGCAATCGAGGACACATTACTAGATGTCCTCCGTTCAGAGATAATTTTTAAGAATGCACTAAAACTTTTGAAAAATGTTAAAGATTTAAGGCTGTTGTTGCTTTTATGTAACTTTACAAAGATTTTCTTGTCTATAGGAAGGAACCCCAAGATTTCATGGTGTAGATGCTTTAAAAATTATTGGATGGCGTGAATAAAACGATTATTAATATTGTGTTATTGAAAATATATGGGGAACTTCTTGAAGTTCTTAAGGATTAGCTAAACTTGCTATTATATAATTCATTTTTAATTTTAATTTTTAATATCTATCAAATCATGAATAATAAACTAAAATTGTTGAATAAAGTGAAGAAATCTTAGCATTAAAGAATTTTTTTTCAAATTCCATTATCGCAATATGTAATTTTTTAAGTACATTCATTTAATGTACTAAAACCTTATTCTTTTATAATTTTAGCAATATTAAGATTACAATATTATAAATGATTTGAAATCTTTAATCTCTAAAAGTATTCCTTTTTTATTGTCAGTATTTTAGTTATAATACAAGATTCATCAATCTCATTTAAAGATGGTATTTAAATGATGTCCATCATATTAACTCTTTCTATTAGTTATGTACTAACTTAAATGTAATTCCTTTAATTCTTCAAAAGTGAAATCAGAAATCAACCAATCTAATTTCTCCTTCTCATATCATGTTCTAGTTTATTTTCTAGTTCAAATTTATTATGATTTTATACATTGCTTACAAAGCTGAAAAAAATATTGATCTATATTATTAAATAATTCCTGTTTCTCAAGGGCATGATGGCATTCTACTCTATTTTTTTAAGTTATAAATAAGTTGTACACTCTCAAAATTACTCCATATTATGAATAGATGATTTTTTAATATGAGGTGATCTTGATTCAAATTTTATTTTTCTCATGTCTCCATCGTGGATGTTATTCTTTAAAAAAATCAAATTCTTTTTCAAAAGTTTATTCCTCCAAATTATTTGTTTATTGGTTGCTCTAATCGGTCTTATTAATTGAATTCATTTATAAACTTAATTATAAATCTATTACTTTATAAAAGGCAATTTAAACATTGGCAAATTAATTTATAGAAATTTGAAATAAAACTTTTCTTTTAATTATTGAAATTTTCAAACTATAGAATCAAATTTAGACATATGTTGTTTAATATATTTTATAAATTGAAAAAAGAAAATGATGATTAATTAAGATTAGAAACAAAATTCTTAAGAAAGCTAACTTAATTCTCTCAATAAAATCTAAATTATAAAATTAATAATTTCTTTATATATATTTGATTTTTATTTTTACAAGAGGAAGAGTATGGTATTTGTAAATTAAATAGATGAATAGTAGTTCAGTATAATTTAAAATTTATTCATTTTTTAAAATAAATTCTTTCATAATTTTTTTGCAAAGTTTTATAAATTGAAAAATCATAAAAATAATATGAAGAAATACAATAAAATTTAAAAATTACCTAAAATCGCACAATAAAAATGTCATATCGAATAATTACTGAAACTTGTATGTAATATATTTATATTAAAGTAAAATTTATTTATATTGTTAAATATTAAATGAATTAACAGAAATAGAAGGGCAAATATGAAAATAAATTTGCAAAAATATAAATAATACATAGCTCTTAATTTAGCGGAGGTTGATCATATGATAAAGGAGGCTCGATTGGATTTTGGGTGAAAAAAATATTTATTGGTGGTGGATCATAAGATAATGGATTAATTAAGATTTGAAGATGGGTTGAATTGAGTGAAGAGTTTAATGATGATTCATAAGTCACATATAATGGTGATTATAAGAATGGTAAGAAAGTTGGTATGTGGGATATTGTAGCAAGGGTAAGAAAGATGTTGACATTTTTTAAATTTAATTTTTAGTGGTGGAGTTTTATATACTGAAGGAGATTCAACTAAAATTGGAAGTTGGATTGAACTGAGTGAAGGATTCAAATGTATTTCTCAAGTCACTTATAAAGGAGAATATAAAAGTGGTTGAAAGACAGGTCTATGGGATTTAAAATGTAATGGAAAATTGATGTAAAATTAATTTAATAAAATTCTAGAGGTGGCCGATAATATAAAGAAAAGGATTGGATTAAATTAAAGTAGAAAAATGGATTGAGATGAAGGATTAGTTTCAGGAGAATTTTAAGTTATTTATACAGGTGAATATAATAAAATAGGTAAAAAAGCAGGAAAATGGGTAGAAATAGATTTGGACATAAATAAAAAATTAAAAGGAATCAAACATGATAATTGAATCAAATAATAAAAATATACCATTTCTTTTCATTCATTAGAATCTCATTTATTTTAAAGTTTAACCTTATGATAACATTAATAATAAATTAAACTGAACTTGATATATTTCAGTATTTATTTACTAATTTTATTTCTGACAAATTATAATTTTTTAGAGTTAAAACATAAAAGAGATTATTTTAATTTTCCAATCTTATTCTTTTATACTTTAATTAAGATACAAACTACAATAAATTTTAAAAACAATTTAAAGCCTAACTCAATTTGTATTATAAAAAATCTACATCTGTTTAAATATCAATTATCATTACATTGATATTTATTTTATATAATTTATGATTGCAAACAATAATTTTTAATTAAATTGCAAATAATTTTTTATATATTTTTTAA